GGATGGTGTCACTCATAGCAGGAGTATAATGGACCAGGCAAGAAAATAATAATAATAATGAACAGCTATATACCAGAGACATTTAATGGGGGTGGGGTGGGGAATGGGATCAATAACAGTGGGGGGAGTGAAATGCACTGGACTATGGTGATGGCACATGGGTGATTTGGGGATGGGAAGCCCACAGGGATTACACCTGAGATGAAAAAATGCACAAAATGATGTAAAAATGAACTATTATATAATAAATAAATATTATTATTTAAAAAAATTATTGGTTTCAGTAATAGCTGACCTATTCAAAATATTAATAAAGGTTTTTGTTGCATAGCAAATGTGTGATATCGAAATGTAGCAAGCAAATGAATAAATGAAAACAGCAACAAAGTAGAAAGAGAACAGTTTTTGCAACATGGTAAAGGATAACTAATATACTCACTGGTGAAAGACTGGGGGAAAAAATGTTCCCCTTGATATTAGGATAAGACAAAGAAGCCTGCTCTTGCCATTTCTGTTCACAATTATCCTGAAGTTCTAGCCAGAGCAGTTAGACAAGGAAAAAATCCAAATAAGGAAAAAGTAAAACTATATTCATAGATGACGTTCTTTAATATATAAAATACTACAGCATCTGGTTTCAAAGATACAACCTTTTTAATAAATGAATTCAGCAAAAATGCTGGATACAAGATTAACACCCAAAAAAACTTGGTATTTCTATACATATGTTGAATGATAACCAACAATAAAACAGCTTCATCTGCAAATGAGAACAAAGCTTTTACCTGGGGTCTTTAGAAGAATGCAATTCAGGAGCTACCACTCAGGCATGACTTCATAAGCAGTCCAATTTGGGGAGGGAAGTGGAGAAATACAGGGTTTATATAGATAGACCTTCCTCCTATAGGTAAAATAGTAAATGCTATATAAAAGAGGCAAAAGGGCAGAAGATAGCTACTTATTACTACTATGACAAGTCTCACTTTGAAGCTGAGATTTGATAGGGTTTACAGATCTTTGTGACAAGGTCTGGTGCAGTCTTTCCAAACTCCCTAATTCCAGATGCCATTCTGGTTTGCTGAGAGTGATAGGTTTGGCTATCAAGTAGTCAGGTGTGGTAGACTTCTACCAGTTCTACTTTCCTAATGGTTCCTGGCTCCATTTTGGATATTACCTTTATCAATTTTAATTTCAGCCATCTTGACATAGCAATGATAAAAAAAATCCAAAAAGGAAGTTGAGAAATTTAGGGTTGGAAACTTAATACTGTTAAGCTACCAATCCAATACAATATCTATTAAAATCCCAGTGGCCTTTTATCTTACAGAAATTGGAAAGTTCAATCCTAATGGTAAGGAAACTGGAATAACCAAAACAATCTCAAAAAGAAAAAAGTTGGATGATTCATACGTACAGACTTCAAAACCTATTATAAGCTACAAAAACCAGACCATTATGGAACTGGCACAAAGATTTGTATAGATAGGCCCTCCCTGGTGACACAACAGGTTAAAGTACAGTATTATGATGCTCTGCAAAGTCACTGCAGAAAGAGTTTGACCCCTGGCCAGGGAGCTGACCCACATGGAGCAGCAATCCTCTCCTGACCTGTCCCCTGCTCCTCTTAGCAGTGTATTTCAGTATATCTGCCTATTCTGCTCCCCATTGTCTCCAGTCAATCCTTTTAACCCCTGCACCTCTGGCTTGTACCCCAGTAAAAAAAAAAATGTACAGGTAAATAGAATGAAATTTAGAAATCTATATAGTAAATTGATTTTTGAAAAGAAGTCTATTTTTATCAATAGCATTAGGACAAAAAAAAAGGGGGGGGGACAAAGAAAAGTCTCTTTGCCCAAAGGAATCTAAGAGAACACTGATTGTGCCCACTCCACTTCCTAAATGAACACAGTTGGGGAAATTTTAGAGACCTAAGAGCTGTGAGTCTCACTGCTCTAACCCATGACTTCTTGAATGGGGCAGTTAGAACAGAGGGGCTGAGCTGAGGCTTGGGGTAGACCTTCAAAGACAGGGTGGGGGGGCGGGGGGGACATAAGCACCTCCCCCTCCTGTTCTTGCTTTGGTTTTGCAGCCTCTGGTGGTTGGGGCTAAGGACTCCCTCATCTGCTCAGGAGGCCTTTCAGCTGACTCCCCACAAGGGCTCTTTTTCCTGCTTTAGCTCTTTGACCGGCAATATGGTCATCTGCTCTCTGAAGAGACTGTGGCGGCCGCCATCTTGATCTTGTGGACTCAGCTTGGCCAAAACACTCCTTCTGTCCCTGCCCTTTGAACCCTGCTTGTGTTTCCTGCCAGGAGGTAGCTTTGCTCTGCACTTGGGCCTTGGCCTGCAGCTCAGCTCTGGGCCCTGCCTGTTTCACTGAACATTTGCCTACCTAGGAGCTAATTAGGAGCCTATATTTTGAAGTCCTTCTCTCCTTTACTTCTCTCCTCCCTCTCTCTATTCCTTTTGAAGAACTTACTGATTAAAAATCTTTGAGCATGCTAGAGTTTGATTTATTTGCCCTTAGAAAGACCAGTTTGGGCCCTCCTTGGGGGCGCAGTGGCTTAAAGCACAGCATTAAGAAGCTAAAACCACTTCAGTGTGAGTTGAGGTGAGCCACATGGTGTGGCAGACCTCTTCTGACCCGCCTGCTGCTCCCCTCAGCAGAGTGCTTCATCAGTAGGCCTGTTCTGCTCCCCACTCTGTCTCTGGTGAGTCCTCTCACTGCCCCTGCACCTCTGGCCTGTACCCCAGCTCTGTATGCATAAATAAATAAATCTTTAAAAAAAAAGAAAGGCCCTCCCTGGTGGTGCAGCGGGTTGGAGCACAGCACTAAGAAGCTAAAGCCACTTCCGCATGAGTTCGATCCCCACCTGCCCCGGGGGTGGCCACATGGTGTGGCAGACCTCTCCTGACCCACCCGCTGCTCCCCTCAGCAGTGTACCTCGTCCATCTGCCTGTTCTGCTCCCCACTCTGTCTCTGGTGAAGCCTCTCGCCACCCCTGCACCTCTGGCCTGTACCCCAGTTCTGTATGCATAAATAAATACATCTTTAAAAAAAAGAAAGAAAGAAAGGACAGTTTGGAAATCCCTGGAGACCACCAGTTGCTGCTTACCATACACCTCAGCAGTCAAGATTTCTGGAGCACTAGTTTGAAAGTTAACTCACCGCAGGATGCCTAAATCGCTGAACAGTAAACACTTCAAAATGCTATAGTCAGGGAGAGAGGGGCACCCCTGAACCCCCAAACCTGCTTGCTCTAAATAGGTTCTGCCATATGCTGCATCAAGACAAAACATATACGACTTTAATGAAAAGGGACTTTAATACAGTGAATATATAATATGGAAGACAAAGAATATAATTTCTAAATCAAACAACGTGAAGTTACCCATCCCCTCGTGGGCAAAAGTCAACCCAAAAGGGATTGATCCAAAGCAAGGCCTGAAAGCTGCCACAAGACTAAAGCACCTTCTGGCCGGGATCCATAGAAAAGAGTCAGAAATGACCAGACAAATCTGGGAGGAAAAGAGCAAAATCAAAATCAAGCTAAAAGCTGCCATAGTCAACCTCACCACGGGTCTCTCACCCACATCTATTTTAACCAATCCAGGGCCAAGAAACAAGCACAGTTTCTCCATCACATGCTCCCTGCTCCATGTGGCTTCCTCAGGTCTCCTAGCCTTCCAACCTGCTTCCATCAGATTCCCTCTCTTCTCTGCTTTTTCTCTCCTCAGTTCCACCCTCCTTCTGGGTGGGGCAGGGAACCTGGAACTTCCCCTTTTCCTGGGGACCACCCTGTTACAGAAAGACTCACAGGCTGCCTTTACCTGGGCAGGGATAGTGGGTTCTACAGGAGATGCCCAAACTCAACTCGAATCCCAGCACTAAAGACTGTCAAAAAGAAATTCCGATTTAGGAAGGTCAAGCTTCATTTGAAAGGATTACTGCAACAAGGGGAAAGGCATTATTGCAAAAAGGGATGAGGATACAGTAGGGAGAATGTTTGTCAATAAATCGTTGGGTTCGCTAAAGAGGGACTTTATTTACTGAAAGGGATTATTGCAAGAAGAGGGAAAGGAAATATGGCAACGCGCATTGTGGAGTTGTAGGCGTGAGGAGGCAACTTAGCTGTAGGAGCAGAACCGCAAGTGCCTCTAAGATCAAGCAGAACAGAACTGGGTGTGGGGAAGTGGGAGGAAAGGGGAGCAGAGGTGCTGATGTCACCGCAGAGAACGTTTACAAGATCAGCTTATTTCCGGGAGTGGAGGGGAAGGAGGAGTGGTATGTTGGCTCAGACTGGGTGGGAGCTGTGAGGTCAATAAAGTTCGGTCAAGGGAAGCTCCTGGAATTGCATGAAGGTTGGTCAGTGAGCACAATTAGTTCACGTTATCATTTCTGAGCAAAAAGTAGGGGAAGTTAGAGTGAACAGTAGGTGAACAAGGGGAACGTCGAGTCACACATATCAAGTCACTTCGGGAAGGGTGCTCTCAGCCCTTTCAGGAACACCAAAAGCTGGGGGAAAACGCCTTAGCCGTTGCTTCCGGGAATGACAACGCTCAGGTAAGGCTCAGCATTTTCAGAATGGAGGGAAAACTCCGCACAGATTCCACTGAGGCTGAAGAAGTGCCTCAGGTGAGCCCACGCCTAGCTCTCCGTGTTTCCCGCGCAGGATGAAGCGACAAGAAGCAGCAGGATGCGGCGGGAAAGCGCCTCGGCCCTCCGCGCGGGTCAAGGTGAGGCTCGGAGGACGCAGCAGGGGCAGCCCTGCCCCTCGGAGGCCCCGCCCCATAATAGGCCCCGCCCCT